AATAAGAATTTTATTCTTTATTTTTAAATCATTTTAAACATTATTATTGATCTATTATAACTTAAAGACAAAAGTTGAATAATATTTAATTTGTATATGTTAATTTATATGTGTTTTATTCATTTTATCTTGGTGATTCAGACACCAAAATCTGCAAATGAATAGCAAAATCTCTAGGCAAAAAAACTAATTCCAGTAAAAAAAAAAACACTAATTGTTTTTCATGAATGAACAGAGTAGGTTTGTTGTGAAGGATGTGCAAAAAGCGAGCCCGTGGTCACTGAAAACAAAATAACAATGGATGAGCTCTTCTATTAGCATGGACATTACTAAGAATATGTTTTAATAAACTTTCCTTTTAGAGGAATTGTTTTTAATAAATTCTGAACATGTCACAGGTTAGATTTGGCCTTAAAAACTGAAAGTGCTTTTGTGAAAATGACTGAAAATTCCTTTTTGCATGTAGATGTTACTTAATGTAGGTGTCACGGTGGCACAGTGAGTAGCATTATCGGCTTACAGCAAGAATGTCGCTGGTTTGAAACTGTCAAACTGGGTCACACATTCTGTGAGGAGTTTGCATGTTCTCCCCGTGGGTTTGCATGGGTTTCCTTCGGGTGCTCCAGTGTCCTCCCACAGTCCAAAGACATGCACTCTAAACAATTAATCAAAATACTTCAGCTAAACTCTGAGTACACCTTTCAGCATCCATATCTGACACTTAGCTACGACAAGCAAGAGGGGGAGTCATCGAGATCTACCTGAGCTCAAACTCCCCTCTCGCCTTGCAACGGGAGGAAGCCCAGGGCTCGAGGATCTTATAAGCTCAGGGCTCTCTCCCGGGACAGCACGCCAAACTAGCTTTATTATCAATCATCAGCTAAGTGTGAACTCTTGAAATAACTGCAATTAATAAAGCAAATTAAAACAACATCTTATTATCTTAAAGTGTGTCCCAGCCAATACCCAAACCTAAATCCAATTACTTAATTAAAATGACCTTACTATTAATAAACAGTTAAGAATTTGAGCTAAAAGTCTTAGTTGATGGTTTATTTATAGCATGAATTATACATTAAGATAAACTGTGACCCTTTTTTTGCCGTGAGTTCATAAAAATGTGTGTTTTTTCACAGGTGACGCGTGGGTTTGGCGTTCCAGCTTTAAAACTAGCGATGGACTGGTTTGGATATCACGGTGGCATTTGCCGGTCGCCCCTACAGCCACTGTCGAAAGCAGATTTAGAGGCGCTTCGGGGAAAATTCTCCTCCAATGGTTGGCTGTAGTAGTTAAAAGGGCAACAGAAATCAAAGAGTTACAGTATCAAGGGGTTACGATTGGCCTGTTTAATTATTCCGCTAGCATTAATGTCCAATGATTTTCTGACAACACGAGAATTAATGGGATTAAAACATGTTTTTGTGACTGAATTGCTTGAGTTTTGATGTTTTGCGGAGGGTGCTGGGGAATTTCAAACAAAAAGAAATGCTCATTCATTTTTAATATGGTTTTTGGGGTTTTAATGTTTATTTTATCTGCATCTCAGCAGTGTTACTCTGATGCGTGCGGCAAATGATTTTTTCCCCCTTATAACACACTAAAAATCTGTGTATTGTTTTTTGCTTGAATGAATAGTATTATGAAATAAGCTGTAATATTGTTTCTGGCTAATTTTATACCATGAGTAAAATCAGCAATTTCTTATAAATAAGGAAAGGTAAAAAATTACTTTGTTTTTGACCATATTCTTCCAAATAATTGTATTTAACTAAAAAAAATATATAAATGAAATAGTGTGTGTGTGTGTGTGTGTGTGTGTGTGTGTGTGTGTGTGTGTGTGTGTGTGTGTGTGTGTGTGTGTGTGTGTGTATGTGTGTGTATATATATAGTTGAAGTCAGAATTATTAGCCCCCCTGACTTATTAGCGACCCCTGTTTATTTTTCCCCCAAATTTCTGTTTAATGGAGGGAAGATTGTTTCAGCACATTTCTAAGCATAATAGTTTTAGAAACCTATTTCTAATAACTGATTTATTTTATCTTTGCCATGATGACAGTAAATAACATTTTACTTGATATTTTTCAAGACACTTCTATACAGCTTAAAGTGACATTTAAAGGCTTAACTAGGTTAATTAGGTTAACTAGGCAGGTTAGGGTAATTAGTCAAGTTATTGTATAACGATGGTTTGTTC